TGGTGTAGGGCGCAGACACCCCGTGATAATGCGGCATGTCTCATTAAGAGCCACATCCACTGTTTTAGTGTAGTGAGATGTGTTCCACACTGGGCATGCGTACTCAGCAGCAAAGTAGCATAGCGCAAGGGCAGATGTCTTCACTGTGTCTGGTTGTGATCCCCAGGTTGTGCCAGTCAGCTTTCGTATGATATTGTTTCTAGCACCCACTTTTTGCTTGATGTTCAGGCAGTGCTTCTTGTAGGTCGGAGCACGGTCCAGAGTGACTCCCAGGTATTTGGGTGCACTGCTGGTGGACTTCAACTCCCACAATTCCTTGAGGCTCGGCATTCGCCCCAAAGGCTTACACGAGCCTCAAGGAATTGTGGGAGTTGAAGTCCACCACACCTGGAGGGCCGAAGGTTCCCTACCCCTGGTCTAGAGTGACTCCCAGGTATTTGGGTGCGTTGCAATGCTCCAGTGGGATTCCTTCCCAGGTAATCCTCAGAGCTCGGGATGCTTGTCTGTTCTTGAGGTGAAAGGCACATGTCTGTGTTTTAGATGGATTAGGGATCAGTTGGTTTTCCCTGTAATAGGCAGTAAGAGCACCTAGAGCTTCGGAGAGCTCCTGAAGAATGGGAAACCCAACTTTGCCACCAAAGTAGGAAAGAAACCAATAGCCAGACAACCAGAGATTGAGAACAACAACCTCCATGAACCTTTTACATCTACTGAATTGGACATGGCTCTCAACAAATGTAAGAATGGCAAAGCAGCTGGCCTGGATGATCTACGGATGGAACAAATCAAGAACTTTGGTCCAAAAGCAAGGCGCTGGCTGCTGGAGCTGATGAACAACTGCACTGCATCCTGTCAGATCCCCAAAATCTGGAGGAAAGCAAGAGTCATCGCCATCTTGAAGCCAGGCAAAGATCGTAATGACCCAAAAAGCTATAGACCAATCCACCTCTACAAAGTTCTGGAGAGACTTATTTTGCATAGAATTATGGAAAATATAGACCCCTGTCTGATCCCACAGCAAGCTGGCTTCAGAAAAGGCAAAAGCTGCACATCGCAAGTGCTGAACCTGACTCAGCACATAGAAGATGGCTTTGAAAGGCAGCAGATCACAGGAGCTGTCTTCATAGACCTGTCAGCAGCCTATGATACTGTGAACCACCGCCTCCTCCTGAGAAAAATGTATAATATCACAAAGGACGACCACCTCACCCGCCTCATAGGAAACCTGCTACAAAACAGTAGCTTCTTTGTTGAGTTTCAGGGCCAGAGAAGCAGATGGCAGAAACAGAAGGACGGCCTGCCTCAGGGGAGCGTGCTTGCTCCATCCTTGTTCAACATCTACACAAATGACCAGCCACTGCCAGAAGGGACAGGGAGTTTCATCTATGCTGATGATCGTGCCATCACCGCTCAAGCAGGGAGCTTTGAGATGGTCCTTCGTGGTGAGAAGGGCAAAATATAAACCAGGAACAGAATAAACCAGAATATAAACCAGGTTTAATGGTCCCCTCCTGGGGCCAAGGCCTGGCTGCACCCACTGGGCCCGTTGCCACGGCGCCCAGGTTGTCATAATTCTTGAGCTCCCTGCCTCCAAGGTCTCTCCAGTTGCTCTCCAGCCAGGGAAGGGGAACAAACCAGTCCGGCTAACGCAATGTCGGACATTTTTTGGTGGTTCTACGAGAAGGGCTCCCGTTACAAGGCTTCCAAGCACCCCAAGACCTTGCCGGACCCTCCGGAGAGGGGCTTAATTGAGGCCCAGGCTTCCACCTCAGCCTCCCCGAGCAAAAAGGATGTCCCGGTATCCGCAGAGAGGAAGAAGCTTGGGCGGACAGGTCTCAAAGACCCGTTGGCAGAGACCCTAAAGGAGCCTGGACTCCCGAAGAAGGGGTTTAGCGCCGTCTGGAAGAGGGGCTGCTGTAGGGAGTCGGCCAAAATGGGGCGAGCGGCCCCCTTGGAAGAGAAAGGGGGGTCCCGCTCTTTTGGGCGCACTCTCAAGGGCTTTGGGGGCCGGGCCCCACAACCGGATAAGAAACTGGGGAGGACCACCAGCACCTTGAAGGCGGGCGGGTTGGGAGGTCTCCTCCAGGCAAGCAATGCCAAAGCCAAAGGAGATGTGGCAGCCCCCAAGTTCCCCCAAGTGGAGGGCAACCAAGACAAGGCTAAGGGCTCCTCCTCGGAAAAAGGGGCCCCATTGCACCCCAATGCCCAGCATAGGATGGGCACTATGGTGCCAAAAAGGACCAAGAAGGCCCTTCGCCAGACCTCCTCCAAAGGTAAGGATGGGGGGCAAAGGCTTGTCTAAGGTCCCCTTTCTACACTGTCATATAAAATCCAGATGATCTGCTTTGAATTGGATTATATGGCAATGTAGACTCATCTGTATGCGGATGATGTCCAACTCTGTCACTCCTTTCCACCTGCTACTAAGGAGGCTGTCCAGGTCCTGAACCGGTGCTTGGCCGCTGTGACGGTCTGGATGAGGGCGAACAAATTGAAATTGAATCCAGACAAGACAGAGGTACTCCTGGTCAGTCGCAAGGCCGAACAGGGAATAGGGTTACAGCCTGTGTTGGACGGGGTCGCACTCCTCTTGAAGACACAGGTTCGCAGCTTGGGTGTGACCCTGGACTCATCGCTGAGCCTGGAACGCCAGGTTTCGGCGGTGACCATGAGAGCATTCACACAGCTAAAGCTTGTGCGCCAGCTGCACTCCTACATTGGGAAGTCTGACTTGGCCACGGTAGTCCACGCTCTGGTTACATCCCGTTTAGACTACTGCAACGCTCTCTACGTGGGTTGTTTTTTTTTTGTCGTGTCAGGAGCAAGTCGCTTCTGGTGTGAGAGAATTGGCCGTCTGCAAGGCCGTCTGCAAGGACGCCTGGATGATTTGATGTTTTTTTCATCCTTGTGGGAGGCTTCTCTCATGTCCCCCCATGAGGAGCTGGAGCTGATAGAGGGAGCTCATCCACCTCTCCCCGGATTCGAACCTGCGCCTTTGAAGACTGCTTGGAAGCTTAAATTGGTTCAACGTTCGGCAGCCATGATACTAACAGGAGCGGCATTCAGGGAGTATACAACTCCTCTGTTGCGCCAGCTCCACTGGCTACCAATTTGCTACCGGGCACAATTCAAAGTGCTGGCGTTGGCCTATAAAGCCCTAAACGGTTCTGGCCCAAGTTACCTATCCAAACGTATCTCCGCCTATGAACCCACCAGGACTCTAAGATCTTCTGGGGAGGCCCTGCTCTCGATCCCGCCTGCATCACAGGCACGTTTGGTGGGGATGAGGGACAGGGCCTTCTCAGTGGTGGCCCCTCGGCTGTGGAACGCCCTTCCCATGGACATTAGATCGGCCCCCTCATTAATGATATTTCGAAGAAAACTGAAAACCTGGCTATTTGAACAGGCGTTTGGATAAGCAGTGCAATGAATATAGGAAAACGGAATTACGGATGACGAGTTGGATCATGATTCTAGTTACGAGATGCCAATGAGTTGTTTATTGACGTGTAATTACTTAGTATATTATGGTGTTAATTGTTTTAAATAGTTTGTACGTTGTTAGCATTGAACTTTTGCTCCTGTTAACCGCGTTGAGTCGCCTACGGGCTGAGAAACTGCAGTATACAAATAAAGCAAATAAATAAATAAATAAATATAATTCAGTTCAAAGCAGATCATCTGGATTGCATATGGTAGTGTAGATGGGGCTTGAGGGTATTGCTTAAATGGTTGGAAAATCTGTAGCTTCAGGCATGGGCAAACTTCGTCCCTCCAGGTGTTTTGGACTTCAACTCCCACAATTCCTAACAGCCAGTAGGCTGTTAGGAATTGTGGGAGTTGAAGTCCAAAACACCTGGAGGGACGAAGTTTGCCCAGACCTGCTCTAGCAGTTTAATACAAAACTAAAATTAGCCTAAAAACAACAGAGAGGAAACAAACAAGGACATCTAATCACTTCTCAACAAAAGATTGCTCCAGGCACTGCCAGGCCATCAAATGCTAATCAAGGTGGTCAGTTGAAACATTCACACCTAGCTCCAACAGACAAGAGTCCTTTGTCCCAACCTGGTCATTCCACAGATATATAAACCCTTTTCCCTAGTTCCAACAGACCTCACTACCCCTGAGGATGCTTGCCATAGATGCAGGCAAAACGTCAGGAGAGAATGCCTCTAGAACGTGGCCATATAGCCAAAAAAAAAACCTACAACAATCCAACTTCACTTTAGTTTCTAACAAACCTCACAACCTCTGAGGATGCTTGCCATAGATGCAGGCGAAACGTCAGGAGAGAATGCCTCTAGAACGTGGCCATATAGCCCAAAAAAACCTACAACAACTCACTAAAATTAGCCTTTTTCCCATATACATATAAACATCCAACTTACAAACAACTCCCAGTTACAAACGGGGCTGAGACAACAGGAAGTGAGGAAAATCTACTTCTCAGGAGAGGAATCCGTTCCTGGAAGAGTTGTCATCATGGGGAAAAGGGGTCTCCGGTTAAGCTTTAACCCTAATCCTTGCTTCCACAACAAGCCACATTTTTCAAAATCCAGGTATTTCTGGACGACTTGTTTCCCAATTTGGGGTTGGATGTCCTCTAATCCCTCACCCACTCCATCTTGCTGAGGTTGAAGATGACAGGTGTTGGCTATTTGTTTGAATTCTTCTTTGTTGATTTCTCCCTTTTTCCACTTCTTGTGCATGTCTCTTTTGTGTCTTAGCACAGTTAGAAGTTCTTTGGACATCCATTCTGGCTTCTTTGCACTTGTCCTATTTTTTCTCTTTGTTGGCACGGTTTGCAATTGTGCCTTGACTCGAGTATTTCATTCTTGAGAAATTCCCATCCATCCGTAACTTCCTTGTATTTTAGTATCTGTGTCCACGGAATGCTGCTCAGTGTTTCCTTCATTATTCGGAAATCAGCTCTCCTAAAGTCCAAAATGATTTCATGGGACTGCAAAGGTTAACAGTAAATGTTGGTTTCGTTTCAGGTAACGCTCCAGCTGTTGCGCATGGAAGCATGGAGATCAGGAAAAAGAGCAGCCATACATTTACCATCTCGGAGTTATCTGATCTGGTAAGTTTAGTTGCGCGTGTTCATGTATTGCAAGTCTTTTATGCGCTCATTTCCTGCCTTGCATCAAATGGGGCTCCAGGCAATATGTGGAGGTTGTTCTCACCACAATTATCCTCACAACAACCCTCTGAGGTAGGTTAGACTGGCCAATGGTCACACAATGCATTCTTTTCCAGAACGACCAGTTCTACTCTATTGTCGAAGGCTTTCATGGCCGGAATCACTGGGTTGTTGTAGGTTTTTTCGGGCTATATGGCCATGTTCTAGAAGCATTCTCTCCTGACGTTTCGCCTGCATTTATGGCAAGCATCCTCAGAGGTAGTGAGGTCTGTTGGAAGTAGGAAAATTGGGTTTATATATCTATGGAATGACCAGGGTGGGACAAGGGACTCTTGTCTGTTGGAGTTAGGTGTGAATGTTTCAACTGACCACCTTGATTAGCATTTGATGGCCTGGCAGTGCCTGGGGGAATATTTTGTTGAGAGGTGATTAGAGGTGCCTGATTGTTTACTCTGTTTTTTTGCTATTGTAATTTTAGAGTTTTTAATACTTCCCAGAATAAGGAACCCTAAGCAACATGTCCCTAATCGCACTTTACTAATGATCTAGGATTGTCTGCTCGCCCCATTTCTCTCCAAATACCCATCCTTGTCACATATGTCATATGTCACCTTGTCATGCCCAGTATTTTAAAATTTTAATTATTACATTTGGTAGCGGGGTATAAATAAAGTATTATTATTATTATTATTATTATTATTATTATTATTGGCAGCCACATCTAATCACCTCTCAATAAAAGATTGCCCCAGGCACTGCCAGGCCATCAATCAAGGTTCTGAGGTCTGAAGCCATGCAACAGTCTTTCTCCACCTTGCAAATGCAGCGACCACTGCATACAGTTCCTCATGTCGTGGTGACCCCCCAACCATAACATTATTTTGGTTGCGTTATTGAAGGTTTTCATGGCCAAAATCACTGGGTTCCTATAAGTTGCCTGGCCAAATTCCAGAAGCATGCTCTCCTGACATTTCACCCACATCTCTGGCAGGGATCCCCAGAGGTCGTGAGGTCTGTTGGAAGGTGGAAGAAGGGCCACCAAAGACTATCCAGTCCACACCCTCTTAGATACATGTCAGATTTAATATTCTGGAAGCATGCTCTCCTGACGTTTCGCCCACATCTCTGGTCACTTGAAACATTCACACCTAGCTCCAACAAACAAGAGTCCTTTGTTCCACCCTGGCCATTCCACAGATATATAATAAACCCAATTTTCCTACTTCCAACAGACCTCACTACATCTGAGGACGCTTGCCATTGATGCAGGCGAAACGTCAGGAGAAAATGCTTCTAGAACATGGCCATATAGTCCGAAAAAACCTACAACAACCCATGTGCCTGATTGTTTACTCTCTGTTGTTTTGCTGTTGTAATTTTTGAGTTTTTAATACTGTTAGCCACATCTAATCACTTCTCAACAAAAGATTTCCCCAGGCACTGCCAGGCCACCAAATGCTAATCAAGGTGGTCACTTGAAACATTCACACCTAGCTCCAACAGACAAAAGTCCTTTGTCCCACCCTGGTCATTCCACAGATATATAAACTCAATTTTCCTAGTTCCAACAGGCCTCGCTACCTCTGAGGACGCTTGCCATAGATGCAGGCGAAACGTCAGGAGAAAATGCCTCTAGAACATGGCCATATAGCCTGAAAAAAACCTATAACAAGACCAGTTCCACTGTTCCTTGTGAACAAGTTGGGAGGGAGATTTATATCCCACTTTTAGCTCAATCCAGGGACCTTTGCTTTATTTATTTATTTATCGTGTCATCAGCAACCATACCATTGTGTTACAATTCTAACAGAACAAAACAAATACACAGATTAAAAAGAGAAAAACACACACACACACACACACACACAGAGAGATTTTGCAAACGTGGTAGTTGGTTAAATGTCCTTTGACCAGTATCTGGCCACTGGGAGAGCCTCTGGTGTTGCCGCAAGAAGGTCCTCCCTTGTGCATGTGGCTGGGCTCAGGTTGCATTGCAGCAGGTGGTCAGTGGTTTGCTCTTCTCCGCACTCGCATGTCGTGGACTCCACTTTGTAACCCCATTTCCTAAGGTTGGCTCTGCATCTCGTGGTGCCAGAGCGCAGTCTGTTCAGCGCCTTCCAAGTCGCCCAGTCTTCTGTGTGCCCAGGGGGGAGTCTCTCATCTGGTATCACCCATGGATTGAGGTGCTGGATTTGGGCCTGCCACTTTTGGACTCACGCTTGCTGGGGTGTTCCAGCGAGTGTCTCTGTAGATCTAAGAAAACTATGTCTTGATTTAAGTCGTTGACGTGCTGGCTGATACCAAACAGGGGATAAGCTGGAGATGTCTCTGCCTTGGTCCTTTCCCTATTGGCTGCTACTTCCTGGCGGATGTCAGGTGGTGCAATACCGGCTAAGCAGTGTAATTTATCCAGTGGTGTGGGGCGCAGACACCCTGTGATAATGCGGCTTGTCTCATTAAGAGCCACATCCACTGTTTTAGTGTGGTGAGATGTGTTCCACACTGGGCATGCATACTCAGCAGCAGAGTAGCATAGCGCAAGGGCAGATGTCTTCACTGTGTCTGGTTGTGATCCCCAGGTTGTGCCAGTCAGCTTTTGTATGATGTTGTTTCTAGCGCCGACTTTTTGCTTGATGTTCAGGCAGTGCTTCTTGTAGGTCAGAGCACGGTCCAAAGTGACTCCCAAGTATTTGGACGCGCTGCAATGCTCCAGTGGGATTCCTTCCCAGGTAATAATCCTCAGAGCTCGGGATGCTTCTCTGTTCTTAAGGTGAAAGGCGCATGTCTGTGTTTTAGATGGGTTAGGGATCAGTTGGTTTTCCCTGTAATAGGCAGTAAGAGCACTTAGAGCTACGGAGAGCTTCTGTTCAACGATCTCAAAGCTCCCTGCTTGAGCGGTGATGGCACAATCATCAGCATAGATGAAACTCTCTGTCCCTTCTGGCACAGTGGCTGGTCATTTGTGTAGATGTTGAACATGGATGGAGCAAGCACGCTCCCCTGAAGCAGGCCGTTCTTCTGTTTCCGCCATCTGCTTCTCTGGCCCTGGAACTCAACAAAGAAGCTCCTGTTTTGTAGCAGGTTTCCTATGAGGCGGGTGAGGTGGTCGTCCTTTGTGATACTATACATTTTTCTCAGGAGGAGGCGGTGGTTCACAGTATCCTAAGCCACTGACAGGTCTATGAAGACAGCTCCTGTGACCTTTGCTTTGATTCTATAGTTTGTCCCAGTTGTTTTGGAACAGGAGCGCAATCATATTTAGATGTTTTCTTTCAGTTTGTGAGAGCAATTAGGAATTTGGAGACAGTCCCTTACAAGGCTGCACAATCCACATCACAGGCGACAAAGAAGTGGCTTTCCCTTTCATTTTTCATCCTGCTTTTTGGTGATTTGCTTCTCGGTTGGGACAAAGAGAGCTTTGACTTGGACCTTTAGTTTTTGGGGTATCTGAGAACTGAGGTGCATCCATCATGGCAAAGTGCATCCACGGGCCAGGATTCTGCGGAGTAAGTGAATGCTGTGAATTGGGGGGAAAGGATAGAGTTTGGGTTGCTGTCAGTTTTTTAGACTGTCTGGTCATGTTCCAGAAGCATTCTCTCCTGACGTTTCACCCACATCTATAGCAGGCATCCTCAGAGGTTGTGAGATCTGAGTGGGATTTATATACCTGTGGAATGACCTGGGTGGGAGAAAGAACTCTTGTCTGTTGGAGCTATGTGTGAATGTTTCAACTTTTTTTTTTGTCGTGTCAGGAGCGACTTGAGAAACTACAAGTCGCTTCTGGTGTGAGAGAATTCGCTGTCTGCAAGGACGTTGCCCAGAGGACGCCCAGATGATTTGATGTTTTTATCATCTTTCTGGGAGGCTTCTCTCATGTCCCTGTATGAGGAGCTCGAGCTGATAGAGGGAGCTCATCCGCCTCTCCCTGGATTCGAAGCTGCGACCTGTCAGTCTTCAATCCTGCCGGCACAGGGGTTTAATCCACTGCACCACCGGGGGCTGCAATGTTTCCACTATCCACTTTGAATAGCATTGAATAGCCTTGCAGCTGCAAAGCCTGGCTGCTTCCTGCCCAGGGGGTCCTTTGTTGAGAGGTGTTACCTGGCCCTGATTGTTTCATGCCAGGAATTCCCCAGTATTTTGAGATTAGCTCTGTATCTACTGTCCTGATTTTAGAGTTCTTTAATGCTGGCCACCGAATTGTGTTCATTTTCATGGTTTCCTCCCTTCTGTTGCAATTGTCCATGTGCATCAAGTGGATTTCATAGAATCATAGAATCAAATTTGATGGCCTGGCAGTGCCTGGGGCAATCTTTTGTTGAGAGGTGATTTATTTATTTATTTATTTATTTATTTACTGTCCTTGTATACCGCTGTTTCTCAGCCTAATTGGCGACTCAACGCGGTTTACAACAAAATATACAGTGCACAGTATACAATTAAAACCATAAAAAACATAATACACAATATTACACGAAATCACAATCCAATACATCTCCTAACTAAAATCGTGGTCCAATTGCATCATCCATATTACCATTCCTGTAATCAACACATTCATTGCACCGAATTAGCCAAATGCCTGCTTGAACATCCAAGTTTTTAGTCTTCTTCGGAATACCATCAGCGAGGAGGTGATTAGATGTGCCTGATTGTTTACTCTCTGTTGTTTTGCTGTTGTAATTTTTGAGTTTTTAATACTGCTAGCCACATCTAATCCATTCTGCTGGGTTTTTTTGTGTGTCTTTAGGGGTGATGGACACGCATTGGACTACTAGGTGTCTTGTGTCAAAATTTCATGTCAATCCATCCAGTGGTTATGTTTCTCCCACAAACAAACATTACATTTTTAGCTATATAAAATTGTTGTTGTTGTTGTAATATAATACTATAGAACCCTAGAGTTGGAAGGGGCATCCAGTCCAACTCCATTCTGACTTTTGGAAAAACACAATCAAAGCTCTCCCAACAGATGACCATCCAGCCGCTGCTTGAAAGCCTCCAGAGAAGGAGACTCCATCAGTCATAAGGCTTAATAATTGAATCATAGAATCAAAGAGTTGGAAGAGACCTCATGGGCCATCCAGTCTAATCCCCTGCCAAGAAGCAGGAATATTGCATTCAAATCACCCCTGACAGATGGCCATCCAGCCTCTGTTTAAAAACTTCCAAAGAAGGAGCCTCCACCACACCCTGGGGCAGAGAGTTCCACTGCTGAACGGCTCTCTTACGAGTCCTGATACAATGTTCTGCATTTCCCTCTTCCAATAATGCAATATTCTTTCCACTTTTCTACTATGTAAACAGAATTGGAATGCAAAAGATACATTCACCATTTCCATGTTGACTATCAGTGTTTTTGGTTATTAAATGAATTAACCGGTTCTCCGAAACACAACAGCAGTACTTAGCAATGGTTACAATAATAAGCCAAACAACACAGGCATGAACACAAGACAGATTTGTTGTTTTTTAAAGGATTATACACAGAATTAGAAACAAAAGGATTCCAGCTCACTGCCACCAGTTCCAGAAACAATCTGCTCTTTCTTTCAAAAGGCTGTTGTTATTGTAGATATTCAGGAAATCCATGATCTGCCTTCTCCCTGGGTTTGCTACCTTTCAGTTTTGCTTTTGAGAGTTGTGTATGATGTTACAGCGTGCTGGTCTGGAGTGTTATTACTTTCCTTTCCTGTTTGCATAGTCAAAGGATGCAGATGGAAAATGCTGTTGTGTTTTCTCTCTTTTGCAGGCGGATCTTAAGCCTGGAGACTTGATTGAGGTTTTCCGCTTCGGGTACCAGCACTGGGCCATCTATGTGGGAAACGGCTATGTGGTTCATTTGGCCCCGCCAAGTAAGAAGCCTCTACAATTCCTATCTAAACGACAAAATATTGGGGGGGGGGGGAGGAAGGCATTTCTCAACCTGGGGGGGGGGGTCGTACAGGGGGTGCCAGAGGGGTCACCAAAGATGATCACAAAACATATATTTCTGATGATCTTAGGCAGGGCCGTAGCCAGAAAAAAAATTCAGAAGGGGTTGAAATTTTGGGGGGGGGGGGGGGGGGGGGGGGGGGGGGTTGAAAATTTCGCAGGGGGTGTTGAAACCTGCCTCCTAGCTCACGCTGAAGCAAAGAGCACAGCAGGGCAGAGCAGCCTTCAATAGCCTGCAGCTCCGCCCCTGTCAACCACCTCCACCAAGTCTGGCCTCCTTAATGAGAGCATTCACCCCCCCCCCCCCCCAACTTGGTTGCTTCACTACTGTTCTGTCGCGCGCTGGGCCTGTAAATAATTGTCTTTAGAACAGGATGTGCAACCTTTGCCCAGCGGGAAGCCAGGGGGCCCAAAGAGAAGTTCTCAGAGGTTTCCACCACAAACAGTCTTTAGATGGCTTGAGAAGTAAAACAAAGTCTTTTATTAATGAACAATCAAACAGAAACTTCTCTTGTCTTCAGTAAAGTTAAACAAATGATTCCAAGCTTTTAGGCAACCGGTGAATTCCTAATCTTGCCCTTCAATAACTTCTTCTTTAAAGGAAAATCCCCTTTTTAACTTCTCCCAGGCTGACTGTAATCTAACCCTTACTGATGTGGGCTCCGCTACCGGGTCGAACTGCGTCTCGAACGCCGAGTGGACCTACCAGCAAGGCAGTAGATATTCTCCAGCTGGAGTTCTTTGGTCTTTAGGGCTGTTTTCCTGGAAATCCTTTGGAGACTCTTAAGACCTTTCTCCCCCGGAAGGTCTTAAGGGTTGAAGCTTTTGTACAGGGGAAGCTTGCACACATTCTATACATAAGCTTACCTTGCTGAGACTAACTAAAAATGGCTCCCTTCCCTTCCCAATTGCCCTGAGCAATGGGCGGAGCCATTTTAGCTCAGTCTTACAGTTGAAATCTTAGCTACGGGACGTGAATCAGCTTCACCTGTAGAGAAGCTTTGTTTCTTACGAAATTCCAGGGGGAAACAGTTCCAAAGGACTCCAGCTGGAGAATCTTCAAAGCCTCAACTGGTAGGTCGGGATCCAAGAAGCAGTTTGGAGCCGGGAGTAGAGCCCACACCAGCAAAGTTTAGAAAGTAGATTGCCCAAGGAGGGGTAAAAAAGGGTTTTCCTCTTAAAGAAAAGAAAGTTCACGAAGCCAGTTGCCAGTCCCTTGTGGACAAGATTAAGAAAGCCACCAGTGGATTCAAAGCCTTGAAGCATTTGTTTGACTTGTTGAAGATCTGAGAAGCATTTGATTGTTTTGTTGAAGACCTAAGCAATAATAAAGGACTTTGTTCAACTTTTCAAGCTTTTTGTTGTTGTTGTTCATTCGTTCAGTCGTCTCCGACTCTTCGTGACCTCATGGACCAGCCCACACCAGAGCTCCCTGTCGGCCGTCACCACCCCCAGCTCCTTCAAGGTCAGTCCAGTCACTTCAAGGATGCCATCCATCCATCTTGCCCTTGGTCGGCCCCTCTTCCTTTTGCCTTCCACTTTCCCCAGCATAATTGTCTTCTCTAGGCTTTGCTGTCTCCTCATGATGTGGCCAAAGGACTTCAACTTTGTCTCTAGTATCCTTCCCTCCAGTGAGCAGTCGGGCTTTATTTCCTGGAAGATGGACTGGTTGGATCTTCTCGCAGTCCAAGGCACTCTCAGAACTTTCCTCCAACACCACAGCTCAAAAGCATCTATCTTCCTTGCTCAGCCTTCCCTAAGGTCCAGCTCTCACATCCGTAGGTGACTACAGGGAAGACCATGGCTTGGACTAGGCAATGGATCTTTGTTGCCAGTCTGATGTCTCTACTCTTTACTATTTTATCGAGACTGGACATTGCTCTCCTCCCAAGAAGAGCGTCTCCTGATTTCCTGGCCACAGTCTGCATCTGCAGTCATCTTTGCACCTAGAAATACAAAGTCTGTCACGGCCTCCACATTTTCTCCCTCTATTTTCCAGTTGTCAATCATTCTTGTTGCCATAATCTTGGTTTTTTTGACGTTCAAGCTTTTATAGACTCTGTATAGGAAAATCCTTAGGGCCTCTCACACGAGGCACCCTGGCTTCCTGCTGGGCACAAAGAGCACGTCCTGTTCAAAAGCCAATTGCTATAGGCCAGTGTTTCTCAACCTTCCTAATGCCATGACCCCTTAATACAGTTCTCTCATGTTGTGGTGACCCCCAACCATAACATTATTTTTGTTGCTACATCACAACTGTAATTTTGCTGCTGTTATGAATTGTCATGATATGCAGGATGTATTTTCATTCACTGGACCAAATTCGGCACAAATGCCTGATATGCCCAAATTTGAATTCTAGTGGGGTTGAAGGGGAGATTGATGCTGTCATTTGGGAGTTGTAGGTGCTGAGATTTATAGTTCACAAACAATCAAAGAGCATTCTAAACTACACCAATGACTGAATTGAACCAGTCTTGGCACACAGAACTCCTATGAGTAAATACTGGAAGGGTTGGATAGGCATTGACCTTGAGTTTGGGAGTTGTAGTTCACCTACATCCAGAGAGCACTGTGGACTTAAACAATGATGGATCTGGACCAAACTTGGCACGAATACTCAACATGCACATATGTGAATACTGGAGGTTATAGATAATAGACCTTGACATTTGGGAGTTGTAGTTGCTGGGATTTATAGTTCAGCTACAATCAAAGAGCTTTCTGAACTCCAACGGGAGAATTGGGCTAAACTTCATACACAGAACCTCCATGACCAATAGAAAATACTGTGTCTTCTGATGGTCTTTGGCGACCCCTCTGATACCCCCTCGCGACCCCCCCCAGGGGTCCCGACCCCCAGGTTGAGAAACACTGCTATAGGCCCAACGCATGACAGCTCAGCCTCTCCCAGCAATTGTTTATATTGTGTTTCCCCTTCCCAGGGCATTTGTGTCCCACTCTGTGTTGGTCAGTCTTGTTGTCTCATGCTCTCTTCCTCTTCTCTCCCCCGAAGGTGAATATGCTGGAGCGGGCTGTGCCAGCCTGATGTCCACCCTCACCGACAAGGCCTGGGTGAAGAAGGAGCTGCTGCGGGACGTGGTTGGGAACAACCAATACCGGGTCAACAACAAGCATGACGGCAAGTACGACCCGCTGCCGGCCAACAAGATCGTCCAGAGGGCCGAGGAGAGGGTCGGCCAGGAGCTCGAGTACAAAGTCACCAGCGAAAACTGCGAGCACTTTGTCAACGAGCTGCGCTACGGGGTGGCCAGGAGTGACCAAGTAAGTGGTATGGATTATATGTACAAGCCATCCCCAAGTTACAAACACCCAATTTACAGAGGGCTCATAATTAAGAACAGAGCTGAGACAACAGAGAGTGAGAGAAATCTACCCCTCGGAAAGGAAAGGCACCCCTGAAAGAGTCATTACCATGGGGAAAAGGGGTCTCCAATGAAGCTTTATCCCCAGTCATTGTTTACACAACAAACCACATTTTTCAAAATCAATTATCACAGGGACAGAAAGTGAGGTGAAATCTTCTGAACAGAGACACAAACAGCATACAAACATCACAGGGGTGTTAACCCTTCTCTATGCTATCCAAAGCTTGCTGGGAGTCAGCTGCATTAAGGTCACTACTGACCGAAAGGTCATGAGTTCGAAGCCAGCCCGCATTGGAGTGAGCTTCCGACCAATTTGTGTAGCTTGCTGTCGACCTTTGCAGCCCGAAAGATAGTTGCAGCTGTCAACTAGGAAATTTAGGTACCGCGTATGTGGGGAGGCTGATTTAACTAATTTACAATGCCATAAAAATCTCCAGCAAGCATGCAAAGAATGAGGAAGTACTTCATCAGTGTCACAAATGGACGGCGAAGCAACAGCTCCCCTGGTGGCCAGAATACCCTCATCAAAAAGCTGGAATGTTAAATTGAAAGGGCAGGGAGAAGGTTTCAGGAAAAGAGATAAAGAGAGGTCTCATTAAGAGCCACATCCACTGTTTTAGCGTGGTGAGATGTGTTCCACTGGGCATGCATACTCAACAGCAGAGTAGCATAGCACAAGGGCAGATGTCTTCACTGTGTCTGGTTGTGATCCCCAGGTTGTGCCAGCTTTCCTATGATATTGTTTCTAGCACCCACGTTTTGCTTGATACTCAGGCAGTGCTTTTTGTAGGTCAGAGCATGCTCCAGAGTGACTCCCAAACACCAGGAAAGGAGATCACGACGATGGTGGCCAGATAAGTTCCCACACAAAGATGCAAAAGAAAGCCTTTCATGTGCATCTGCTTTTGTTCCTTTCTTCCTGTTACAGGTCCGGGATGCCCTGGTAGGAGTTGGCGTCGCAGGCTTAGGGTTTGCTGCCCTGGGACTCCTTGGTGTAGCCATGGCGAAGAAGAAGAAGAACCAACAGAACCAATAACAGAGACTCCGAGAAATTGGACTCCTCTGAGTTTTTTTCTGGGTATTATTTTGTTTTGTTTTGTTTTGGAGATATGACTTGGCTTCTATTTGGGGCCACGATCCAAAGCTTCTTATTAACTGACCACTTGAACTATTTCCCTTATTGATTTAATCAAAGTCTCCATGAAGCAGATGGGAGAGGGGCTCGTTCCCCGTGAACTAGGTCTCACTACTACCGGGATTGTTTACCAAGATCGCTATAGATTAAGGGACGGAAGCTGGGAGAAGATCCTGAAGGTGGCCAAGGTCAGATCTGAGCCGCCTTCCTGATTCATAGCTGAGATTTTTCCTGAGTCATAGTAATGTGATCAGTTCGTCCTTAACGCTAGAGTCCTGACATTCCTAAAGGCTTTTGCTTGCAATGTCAATTTGTTCCCCCCTCAATGTGTATGTTTTTGAAACTTTCTGTATTGAAACGATGTTCCGGTCAGATGTGAATTCAAAATAAGTCCCTGCACATTTCAGTCCGTTTACATTATTCACATCGAAAGGTACGACCAAGAGTTGCCTGGGGCCTCATCTACCCTGCCATATAAAATCCAGATTATCTGTTTTGAACTGGATTATATGGCAATATGGACCAAGCATGGACAGACTTCAGCCCTCCAGGTGTTTTGGATTTCAATTCCCACAATTCCTAACAGCTGGTAGTGTGCTGGTACGGCTGTACCAGGAGCTCCAACTTCTTTTCTTTTCTATTGAGTGTTTGCATGTATTCCAAAGTTCCATGCATTTTGCAATAAGGTGGCTTCCCTTGGTTTGCAATCATAGGGCCAAGGACACATCAATTATCATTATGTTCCTTAGTTCCGCCCCTTTTTCTAGTTTAAGGAGGGAAAAAGGGGACCTCTAGTTCAGTTCACACAGAGAAGCCTTTCGTACAGGACGTGAATCAGTTCCACCTATAGAAAGCTTCGTCTTTACAGGTTTGCTGGGGGATCCAGTCCCACAGCTCTACAGAGAACTACAGCATAGCCTTTGTTGGGGAATTTAGTTCCACAACTCTACAGCCAGCCTTCGCTGGGAATTGAAAGCCTTCTTTCCTCTTGGAAATCTACTAAAGGACTCTGTTTGGTAAGGACCACTCATGGCAGCCATAACGCAATTTGGACCGGGTGTAGGGGCCCACGCCAGCAGAGCTTAAGTCAGATTGCCCAAGGAGGGGTCAGGGATTTCCCTTGTAGAAGGAAGAAACAGTTTATGAAGAAAGTTGCCTGTCCCTTGTAGACAAGATTTAAGCAAGCCACCAGTTGATTCAAAGCCTTGAAGTATTTGTTTGATTTATTGAAAATTTAAGCAACAATAAAAACTTTGTTGAACTTTCTAACTCTTTAAAAAAACTTTGTGTGGGGAAATCCGAAGGGCCTCTCAGCCGAGGCACCCCCGGCGTCCCGTTGGGCATTCAGAAAACATGTCCTGTCTACAGACTCTTTCACAGGCCCAGCATGTGACAGCACAGGTAGGCTGTTAGGAATTGTGGGAGCTGAAGTCCAAAACCTCTGGAGGGCTGAAGTTTGCCCATGCCTGGTATAGACTCATTAATCCAGTTCAAAGCAAATAATCTGTATTATCTGCTTCAATAATCTGGATTATATGCAATGTATGAGATCCAGCCTGAGAAAGTGCAACAATAGCAGCAACTGTCCTTAAAACAAGGACAGTTAATGTTGTAGAAAGGATCCCCTTGGAAATACATCCATCTGCAGGTTCAAAACTCATAGTTTTATTTATCCACATCTGACAAAATATGTGATTTCTATATATATTCTCGACCCCTCTATGGCATTTTCAGGCCAGGAGTCCTTCATTTCAACAAGGTTCGCTGTTCACCAAGGTTTCGCATTATGACACAAAGTATGGGAACGTATCCTCCCCAAAGACCTTGAATACAGTAAAGTCTCACTTATCCGACCTTCGTTTATCCGACATTCCGTCTTATCCGACGTCCCCCTTTTCATACAGCATTTCCCCTTCAATTAAAGGAGCTGCGAGGAGGTGATCAGAGTGGAGAGAAAGCTCACGTGCTGTCGTGTGACAGGAAAGTAGGGGGGAATTTACTGTTTATTTCTCTGAATTCTGCCACCAACTGGTATAGTGGAGGCCAATTGTTATAGGTAATCTATGTTAACTGCCACCAGCGTGAGATATGAGGTATTCCTGTGAGATATGGCAATACAGATGCAGAATGGATGGAGATGAGACTGTCTTCAACAAAAGATAACTGGTTTATTGAGTACAAAGCGTGTGGTTGCAAGATTGTAACTTATTTTATAGAACTTTGAATAATACTTGGTTAGTTAAACATTTCACTCTTCCAGGTTACACAATATCTTCACCTCTTGTTTTAGTAACAAGAGGTGAAGCTCTTGTTACTAAACAATGTTTCAGTACAGGAATATCTTCCCTATTTGATCTTTCCTTGATCAAATAAATTAACAAGCCTATCCTTTAGCCTTTCCCTTGACTAAAGAAAACTGGCTATGTTTCTCCTTTCAGCCTCCTTAGACTGAGAAACCTCCAGTAGCTATTCAGGCTTCCCCAAAGCCACAATTCTTTGCTTCACACTTCACTCTCCCACTCTACTCTTCACTTCCACTCTTTTACTCCTCTCAGATACAAAATCAACTCCTAACTGACTCTCAAACTCTCTGTTTTTTTCAAAACTCTCTCCACTTGGCTCCTCCCACTTCTCCTTCTGCCAGCTTGCCTTGGTCTCCATGGCAACGCGGACTGAGGATCTCTGAAATAGGCTGCTCCAGTGTTACTGTAGCTAACCCAAACACATATATATACAGTTTAAAACATGCAAAGTATTAATAACTTCTGCACAGAAGCACTTCCCAACTCTCTCTCCATTTCCAATAAGTGAAAAAGGCAAGACGAGGAGGAGGGAGGAAAGGGGGAAGGAGACAGAACCGGAAGCGGAAGTGTCCTCTCTCCTTCCCTCTGTGATTTCCATGCTCCTCTTCCACATTCCCTGCTGGGCCCGTCTAGCCCCGAGATGTTGCCTTGCCTTAACCCTTTGAGTCCCTGTTGTTAGTATTCTAGGTATCTAGCTCTGCGTCGGACAGGTAACAGGAGACTCCATATTATCCGACATTTTCTTTTATCTGATGTCCTGCCAGCCTGTTAATGTCGGATAAGCAGGACTCTACTGTACATGGTAAATACGGATAATCTGATTCAAATACAGCAGCACTTCATGGGGGGGGGGGGAATATGTATTTATTTATGTATCTATTTAAATACAGTATTTATATCCCCCCTTATCCCTAAGGCAGCGGTTCTCAACCTGGGGGTCGCGACCCCCAGGGAGGCCATTAGGCCATTTCGGAGGGGTCACGAGACCGCCTCCTTAGGCCCCGCCCCCAATGTAACAATGAAAATATATCCTGCACATCAGATATTTACATTACAATTCGTAACAGCAGCAAAATTACAGTCATAAAGGAGCAACAAAAATAATTTTATGGTTGGGGGTCACCACAACATGAGGAACCATATTTAGGGGTCATGGTGTTAGAAAGGTTGAGAACCACTGCCCTAAGGTGACTCAGAGTGGATGACAGTACATACATATGCAACAAACATTTGTACATAGAACAGAGGTATATATAGGCTTTTCCCATCTTTGGCATCTTGGAGGCTTGTGCTCGGTTCCGGCCACAGGGGGTGCTGTTGTTCCATCTCTCTGCTAAAGAGCTTTGTTCAGAAACTTCCTCCTTTTTGATGAATTGCCAGCATTTTTTCTGGGTGCCTTTAAAATACCTCCCCGCTTTTAAAAAAGCGGTACCTATTAATATACTCACATTTTTGCTTTCGAATTGCTAGGTAGGTGAAAGCTGAGTTAAAGGCCAGGAGCTGACCCTGACCTGGGCTCCGAACTACCAACCTTTTGACTGGCAAGATTTAATACAGCTGGCGGTTAACCTGATGTGCTAAAGCCCTGAAGGGGACCTAATATCTAGTGTTGTGGATCTCCTGCACACCTGTTAAATATTTTTGCATTTGGTAACCACTCATTCAGAGTTCACAGTAGGTTAAAGCACTGAGCTGCCGAACTTGCTGACCAAAAGGGTGGCAAGTTTGAATCCGAAGAGCAGGGTGAGCTCCTGTTGTTAGTCCCAGCTTCTGCCAACCTAGCACTTCAAAAAGATGTGAATGTGAGTAGATCAATAGGTACTGCTTCGGCTGGAAGGTAACAGCAATGCACACAGTCATGCCGGCCACATGACCTTTGAGGTGTCTACAGACAATGCCGGCTCTTCGGCTTAGAAATGGGGATGAGCACCACTACCCCCGAGTCGGACACAACTAGACTTAATGTCAGAGGAAACCTTTACTTCAAAGCAGAAAGGAAACATTCCAGGTACTTCCAGGTGTGCCGTCGCGCCTGGGGGCTATAACTCTTAGTGAAAGAGGCATGGACGTGACATCTTTCCCCCAGGGGATTGCTTCTTGCCCTCCTTTAGGGAAACTGGAAACTCAAAGACCCAAACACTATAGATAACTCAAAATAGGTTTTATTGTTCACAAAGAGTTATCCCTTTAAGGCAATAAGCTGGAAGTTTCAAAGGGGTGAAGGAAAGCATACATTACAGTCTCTGGTTGTCTTGGGTCCAAGGCGTTTTGCAGCTGAGAAGCTTTTCCAGGTCCCTCTTTCTCAATGGCTGCAAATGCCGGAGCAATCCACAACCCCAATCCAAATGGCCTATGTTTGAAGACACAAAGTCTTCAAACCTCAGAATTGGTGCTGAGAGGTAACTTAAACAGGGGCTTTTAGAGCCAAGTCTTACTCACGTCCATCTGGTAGAAAATCTGATGGTGGAATGAAAAAGGGAAGCACTCCCCTCCTCCAGGAAGAGGTGGAGCCAAACAATTGAGCTGAGAAAGCAATTCAACTGGTGCAAACAACATTGATTGACAGCTATCAATAACACTGTTCTACAAATTTTCAGTTTTTCTCAGTTGCGGAAACAAAATGTGCTGTTTCTTCATAAATTTAACATGCTGAATTCAAATATAATAATTAAATGTGTTAATTGGCTCTGGTTTTTATGCAACAGCTATTTCAATTTTCTCCACAATAGGTAATTCATTAATATTATGATAATGCGCCTAACCTTACTGCATATGTATAAACCGTAAATATTTACTAAATTTTAGTCAAATTATATTGCCAATAGTTTATACATGAGAAATATTTATTTAATTAGTCTATTGTTTATGTTTGTGCAGCAAGAAACTATATTAGTAGGCCTAATGCAGTTGAAAAGTCTGAAAGTTTCAATGTCGCTTTAATCGTGACTTTAGTTTCTATCCTGTTTGCTTCTCTTGACTTTTCTTTTGTATTCAAGGAAAGGATTGTCTCTTCCAATGCTGCAGCAGGAGTCTGACAGCATTGACGGAGTCCATTGGCCTTGATCTCTTTTTTCCATAGTGCTTTATTTACACACGTGCGAGG